CGGAAACTTTCAAATCATATATCATTCGGCTCAGTTTTTGACGCTGGCTCTGAATATGATACTTTTATTGCATAAAAAGCGAGTTCTAGTGAAGAAAATTGTGAATTACGGGCAGAATTCCGATTCTTTCGCTCCTGATTCAGCAAAAGTGAAATTTCTCAGCAATGGAGAGAAATTTCAAAAAGAACGAGTTATACTTTTGTAGTTAGAATAAAGACCATTTTTGTTAGATGCCTGATATATTCTAATCGACATAAACAGTAATCAATGATTGGGTAATTTTCAATAAAATTACAAAACACTAATTTTAGTAAAAATCATCAGTTTTAATGGCTCGACAAATGCTAGATCAGGCTGTTAAAGGCAACACTTCTGACGTCAAACAATTTAGATTTGATCGGGCTTTGATATAAGACAGAAGAGAGCGAAAAGTAAATTTTGTCGGCAGCCTACTGTAGTTCACTGAGGCTAATCACCTCAAGAAGCCATTCTTAAGGTTGTCAAAACCTCTTCATTCTTTAAGCGAAAATGTTTGCTGGCAATATTGTAACGATTCTATGAGCTATCGATTGGAAAAAAGGATTTTGCTTTAGCTCTCAGGTTAATGATTAGACAGCTAAAGTGTCTTCGTTATGGAATCACGCTGTTAAATTACCAAGTTTTCATGCATTAGATTTGAAACTTCACATCCGAAGCAGAGAACGATCGATAGGTTGAACGGCTGGCAGGACAAATATTTTATTTATTTATAGCGCTCTCTTATCGAAGTTCAGCTCTTAATTTGTACTTTTCTGATTATTTCTAGGAGTAACGAAATGAATATTTTATGCGAACCTGAGAGTTATAGGTGTCGGATTGGTTCTAAAAATGATACAACAAGACTGTTAAAAAGAGACTATTTTGATGAATCGAGCGACCAAAGCGATTGTCCAGACAGTCTTCAAATGCAGGACCAAATTGAAGTTAAAGGACCAGTAAGCAGCCAAGACGTTCGATTCGCTTCGTTTGAATCTTGTCCAAAACGATATTCAAATAACGATACTACCGTTGGAAATCAGCAACACCAACAAAGAAGTACGAACACGCCTCGCTCGTTGATCAGAGCTGAATGTCAACAAGAACCGCAAGTTTCGCGCTACATCCCGCCATATCGTCGTCCCACACGGGATGATATTACTGAACCAGTTCACAGCCTAGGAAGAGGCCAACACCGAAGCTTCCTAAATCAAAAACGTTTTGAACATAAATAGAAAAACTTAAATTATGGCACGGCCAGTTAACGGTCATCCTTCGGATCAGAAGGTTCGAATAATTGTTGTCTCTCAAACAAAGGTTAAAAATATACCATTAGATACAGTTTTTTCGCGCTGATTACGGCTCTCAACTCAAAAGAAATGATGAAAATTTTAAATTTATTCTTCCTAACCCAGATCTTTTTTTCAAAACTTCTGGAAACTGTACGATCAGATAGAGAATCGAATTCTCTACAAAATGTTTCATTTGTTTTCATGTCTGGATGACAAAAGTTTTTTTATCTTCTGAAAAGCGTTTTGACTCTTATTTTGTGTGCGATTTTCTATCCATTTGATCTAGTTTGGAAAATTTATTTTTGGCTGCATCGGATAGAGGACATCTCAGACTATTTATCTATGCGTAAATCAGAGCCTGATATGTAGTTCTGTGACAGAAAACTATGTACCAATCATCTACAAAGAAGAGTAAAAGAAGGTAAAATTTCGTGACAGTTTCTATTTTGATCATAACGCTTAACCCGCTTGGCCAATCAAGTTCAAATTTTTTTGGTAGTGAATCCGTTAATACCTATCACTGACATAAATTTCATCGATAACTGTTGCTTCCTCGCCCAGATAAAGGGGATAGAAGATGAAAAAATGCAATTCCATGACATTTGGCCACACCGATTAGCTTTTACACTTGAATGGGCGTCGTATTCCATACGAACATAATCTCTATTATCCATTTCAGAACAGAATGAAATCTGACATGTTTAAATCCAAAAAAGTTTGAATAAAGTGGATACAGACTGTAATATTGACAACCATAGAAAAGATCGATGGACGTCTTTTAGATATACTCTAGAACTAAGGTTTCAGTAGGATCTTTGAAAACCTACCTAAGATTTCCAAAACATAGATGACAATATACTATCTATTTTAAACCTGCTGACAGCTCAAGGTGCCTTCTAGAAAATGCGATTCATCCGGACTTTTCATCGAATACGGGTAAGGCATGCTGTCGTATTTTCTGAAAGTCACAGAATCGTAGATGATCGAAACATAAGTTAGAACTACTATAAATATTAACCTATTGCGCGATTGTATTTGATGGAATCCTGCCGTTATAATGGATTACAACATTACAACGTTGAATCAATCAAATAACATTGCTCAATTGCTATGAAACTGGTCAGCCAAAAATTATAATTATATATTATAGTGGTCATTTTGGCCGTTTTTTGATTTTTATCTCTAATAATAACAAATTGCTCTGGTGCCCCCAGCAATCTGATGCTCTCCAGTATGTTGACTCAAGCATCGTCAATTGTTAATGAAATTAGAAAACTTTCCAAAATGATCAGCGCAAAAGGCTCTACAAAATGGTATATGTTTAAAAGAATTCGAGACTTTTGCATTTTTTATGTCAAACAGATTCTAAGATTTTTTCTCTACTTCTCACTTTAGCATCTGGTTACCCTGCTGATCGATAATACCCAGAAAGTTGGAAATCGCAAAAAAAAGTAATTTAAATTAATCGATTCAGCTTGATATTAATTGTCTGACTTGGATTTTTTCTGAGTCTCTTCTTGGCCTTCGCGGCTGGAAACAATTTCATACTTCTAAACAGTTCAAACTCGAAGCGCTGAAAATGGAGCGATTCGTTCTCAAGTTCGGTCTTTAGAGTACGAGCAGAGAAAGAAAGAGCTCCGAAAAGAGCAAAGAAGTTAATTAATATTACTCAATTTTTGATCAAACTGATTAAACTTTTTTGATAAAAAAATTAATTTAAATTAATTTTTTTTCTGATTTCTAACTTCGTGGGTATAGTCATTACATGGTTCCCTTGTAGTAGTTCGTTCTTAATTCTCATTTTTTACAGCTGAGCCTATCGTTTCCACTGCAGAAAATGGCGAAGCACTCTCATGGCATTTCTACTTGGCCAAATAATTTTATTTTTCGACAGAAACCTCGTTTTGTTTGCCATTGTTACACCCGTTTATATTCTTAAACTTTAGAACGTATCCTTCTTTTCTTTGCTTCCGAATGCAATGCGAGTGCGTGTGTGCTGAATACGAACTGCAGAAACTAACGAAGATTTTAACAGTGTTCATCAGAAATTATTTCTTTCTCTAATTTACCCTTCATGGGTGTAGAAACAGCTGATTTTTGGATTTTTCCGATTTTCGTCGATTGTCACTGATTTTTTCAGATTTCTTGTGATTTGTTTGGGAAATCAAGTAAAAAGGTAAATAGTGCAGAACCTGCTGTATTTGTACAAAATTGGAATAAGACATAGTGAAAGTAAAGGGAAAAAGCTAAAATCATATGATTTTAGCGATTTTCGATTTAAACCGAAGCTCAAAAATCAGCTGTTTCCCTCCCAGCTTTTATTCTTCTTTTTCGTTGTATATGTTTTTATTCTATCCAAAAGAAGAAGAAGCATCACAAGAGACAAGTGCCCATTTGATTTAGACTAGTTTAAGTCAATAAAAGAGTAGAAATTTGGTAGAATACTTCAAATCAACATCCAGCTTTTGCATTATTTTAATGTATCGTCTGAGAAGTATTTTTTGAGTTTTTCTAAGGTCTGCTTTTCTTGAAATTCTCTTTGTGGAAATGGACATATGTGTCCCTTAAAAAATTCACAGTAGAATTCACTATTGTCTAGAAAATCTAAACGTTTAGATTTTAACAAGGCATTACTTGTTTTAAAGGAGCGTTTATCGCCACCTGATAGCCTGTTACCAACGTCATTGTCCATATAATATTGATAATTACCAGCATCCACAGTGTACGCATAATAAGCATACAGAAAAAAATCTCTAATCGCATAATCAGCTGTCTTATCAGCAGTAGAATAACGTTTCATAATTTTGACTTCCAATAAATCAGCAAAATCTTCAATTACGTACGCTTTTAATTGTTTCATTTAATCTTTCATCGCTAAGTAGACACAGTTCTTAATTTTCGACTGTTTGAAATTAGATAACTGGACTCTGAAGCACACTATTGCATCAGAAAAAATTGAGCTTGTAGCGAAAATCTTGTTATTGAAACATTCTACTTGTTCAGGAGTTGAAATTTTAGAATCAATAAAATAGTAACTACAGTACTTTTAGCAAGGGGGGGAAAGCATACTTCTGTACCTCTCGGTACTTCCTGATACTTCTTCGTACTTCTGAAGTATGAAGTACAAAATACGCTTTTCCTCTTTTCGTACTTCGTACTTCAGAAGTACGGAGAAGTACAAAAAGGTACGAAGAAGTATCAAGAAGTACGGAGAAGTACAGAAGTATGCTTTTTCTCCCTTGACTTTTAGATTCATGTTTATTTAATTAAAATTAAAATTAAAAATCTTTTCATAAAAATAAAGTCGACGTTTCGAAAATTGTAATTTTCGTTTTCAAGACAATAGAGATGTGACACGATGCAAAGTTAAAACGAATATGACTGAATATCACTGAATATTCAGTGATGAGTCGATGGAGTCATCAAGTAACTTTCAATCAAAGTAAGCAAGTCTAATTTATCGTATTCTTTTAATGGATATCCTCTGAACTTTCACAGGTAGCTAGGATATGGTCTTTACACTTTTGTATGATCACTCGCTCGAGAGAATATGCGAATTTTCGGCGAAATGGGCGCTTCAATAAAAAGAGCATTGAAGTTTATTAAAAATTAATTTGGGAGAAAGTACTTACAATTCATTTCACACCCACACACCTCCGAAGACTTCTGAGAAACCGTGACACAACTCTTTCGATTCTTTCCCGAATGAAATGGCAGGAAAAAAGTTGGGAAGATGGATCCATCTTCCCAAATAATTAGAAAAGACTGCTGCAAAAGCCGATAATGTTTTAAAAATTATAAGTCGTTCCCTCTCAAACGGAATAATTCATGACTTTTCTTTCTTTCCAAGTCAACAGAATTAGCTGCATCAACTGTACGTTCCAAATTTGAAGACAAAAAATGCGAAATGGTTAGTGAAACAGCAACATTTAATCAATGCTTTTGTTCAGTATATGGTATATGCATTCACTACAGTTACAAATATAAGGTTTTAAGAACGATGCCAACTTGTGCCAACTACAGATAAGAGAGAATACTCGTATGAATACCATCTACCGGCCTAAGAGTGTATCTGTCTCTTATAAAATATATAATTAGCAAAAACTAAAAAATGTTGAAAACCAAAATAAATCCCATTCAGAGGCACAAAATCAAGGGGGGACAAGCGTACTTCTGTACTTCTTCGTACTTTCTTCGTACTTCCTTGTACTTCTCTATACTTCTTTGTACTTCGTCGTACTTCGTCATACTTCGTCGTACTTCGTCGTACTTCTACACTCATGCATTTTTTTTATCATTTTTATTTTATATGGATGCTGATGTTATTGCATCAATTTTAATAGTTATGCCTAAATAGCACTTGAAACATATGGATAATATAAAATCAGACGAAAAAAAATCTCTATACTTTTTGGTATTTCTCTGTACTTCCCTGTACTTCCCTGTACTTCTCGGTACTTCCCTGTACTTCTCGGTACTTCTCGATACTTCTTGTACTTCTCGTACTTCAGAAGTACAGAAGTACGCTTGTTCCCCCTTGCACAAAATTCTTGTCTCCTGCACTGTTCTTACCTTTCTTTTTCCGTTTAGATAATTAATGGATGAGACATGAAAGTAACAAAACCTGAACCTTTGTACACGAGCGCGGCACGAAACATAGTCCGTGCTGTTTATGGTTCAGATGGTTCTGATTTTCATCTGAAGGAATATAAGTTCGACTTTTTGCTAGGTAACCCACTTCACTTCGGAGGAAAATACTCTGACTAAACGACAATATTTTCAGTTATAGATCCCGTGGCATTTTCACATCCACAACTCTTCGTTGAAGTGTCTACAAAATAAAAACTTATCCGTGAATTGAGTAACAAGCAATTACATTAGTCGCACGGAAAATTTTTTCATCTCTTCGAAAGGTAAGACCGGAGGATTGATGTCGGCCAACACACAAGAATAACCAGTATTTTGACTTTTTTTTGAACAATTATTCTCGGAGGAATGGGCAACAT